CCGCCCCCGCCCGGTACCGGAAGGTGGGGCGGGCTCGGGACTCGCATCTCCGAGTCTGCGGCGAACGCCGCAACCGCCGGCCCCGGAATCCTCGTTCCCACCCCACACACATCCCCACTTCAAGCCCGGGATAGTGGCTCTTCCCGTTAATAATTAACGGGGATTAATTAATTAATGGGCAGTGAAGCCATCAGCAAAACGCAGAGAGGAGGGGGAGGTACAGGTACAAACGGCAGCGTTACCAGCGTGCACACACTGAGCGCAGGGATAATCAGCAGCTCCAGAATACTCTTTCCCACCCCGCATGCATCTCCACAACCTGTGGAAGTGTGTTCTTCTCATTAATAATAAACAGAGAGGTAAGACCGTCAGCAAAAGGCATTGTAAGGAGGTGGGTGATGTGCTGGTACAAACTTCCAGTACCTGAAGGGAGCCTACAAGAAAGATGGAGAGAGACTATTTACAAGAACATGTAGTGACAGGACAAGGGGGAATGGCTTCAAACTCAGGGTAGGTTTAGATTAGGTATTAGGAAGAAATTTTCTCTGGGCAGCCTGCTCAGAGCAACTGTGGCTGCTCCATCCCTGGAAGTGTTCAAGGCCAGGCTGGATGGAGCTTGGAGCAACCTGGGGCAGTGGAAGTTCTTCCTGCCCATAGCAAGGGGCTAGACTGACATGATCTTTCAAGGTCACTTCCACCCTAAACCATTCTGATTCCCTGAAATGGGGAGCATGGGGATAATCAACGTTTGAGAAAGATTAACCATTTTACAGGTTTTTTTTGATATTTATAAGGTAGAGTTCATGGTGATGGCAGGCAGTAGCAGCTCTGCCAAACCGTACAGCATTCTTCGGGAGAGTACTCCCACTGTGCCACATGCACTCGGAAAGGTCCGGAGCCCGGCTCGGGCAGCAGCTGAAGCACCAGTCTCTCCATGGCGAGACTACTCCAGAACAACAGTCCCTCCTGCCGCCTCTAGCGCTGCTTTGATCTTCTCTGCTTCCTCCTTGGAGGCGTTTGCCTTGATCTCCTGTGGAAGGGACTCCACCAGCTTCTTTGCCTGTGAGAGGGACAAAGTACGAGGCTTGTAAACAGGCTTTCACTAACTGGATTATTGGATTTAGAGCCATGATCCTGACCTCTGCTTAAGCCAACCATGGAAATTCGCTGACCAGCACAAACCCTAAGACTTACACTTGAACAACAGCACAGCCCACCAGAAGGCAGCTAAACCTGACTGCAAGCGACGGCACATCTGCTGGGAAACCTTTTCCTGCAATCCACTGCTCTTAAATTTTTCTGCTGTGGGCATGGTGCTCCCAGATGTGCCCCCAGCCTGCAGAGGTGTGGTGCAGGCACACCCCGTGCACTGGCCTGCTGAGACAGCATCTGCCTGGCGCTGGGCTGGCTCTGCTCAGTGACAGTGTTTTGGTTCACATACTTGTACCAGCAGGAGGGGAGGCCAGTGCAGGGTTTGGACACAGCTGCACTGGCTGAAACAGAGTTCCAGCACAGACTACTTGATAACAAAGTACTCTGATGTTTTACGGACTCTTAAGGCAAAACTACTGATACTAAGCAGCACTGCAATACTTAAGGCAAACTGAAAAACTGTTGAGCTGTTAATTTAAAGAGTTAATTTACTGCAGTGCTGCTATTGAGGGGACAAGCCCCTGCTGCTCTTGCAGGTAGCAGCTCTCTGCCACAGCACTGCAGGGGTTTAGCACCCACTGGACTGGCCACTGTGCTGGCAGAAAGGTTTTGTCCTTTCGATTTCTGCTGGGTTCAATGCCTACGTGTCTGTAGTGGTAGAAAAATGCTTTCTTTGCTGTGTTTAGAAGGCACAGATGTGTGGGCAGTACTTGGTGGGGGCAGGAATGCCTCTGCCCACCAGGACAGGCCTTGGACAAAAGCCTGTTCAGGCTCACTGCAATGAGGACAGGCAACACAACACAGGTTATTAATTCCTGAACCCTGTTCAGCAAGGTGTGACTCCACTCTAAAGCAGCCCCGGTAAAGAGAAGCAGCTGTCCCTGGTGTTCAGTGGCAAGAAGAGCAGAGCCCAAGTCAAGTGGGATCCGTGCAGCACTAGCCATGGGGCAGAGGCAGCATGCTCTTAGTCCAGCTAGAGCCCAGGGCTGGTGGTGACAGAGGGCAAGCATCTGCTGGGCAGCTCCCAGTGATCTTCTTGAGGTGCAGCCAGCCTCGGTCTGGTGTGTGCTGATCACGCACCTATCTCATCATGCAGTTGTTGCCACAGGACTGATGTTTGGGTCCCAACAGTGCCCAAGGTAATCACTCTATGTGCTTCCCTCCATAACATCAGCAGCCTACAGGCCATGGGCAGACCCCCCCAAAAACCTTGTAAAAAACACCTTGACTGGATGGCACTAAAATTTACAATAAAAGGGCTTTGGCTCCACTTTGAACACAACCTCTGCAGGTAGAACCTCCACAACTGTTTGTGTGTGTGTTTCACCCAAAGTGCTTGGTACATCACACGTGAGCTTGCCTGCAAAAACTGGCACCTACAAACAACTCATCCAGCAGGTGCCACATGCAAAGCCAAGCTCACTTAGCATCAGCTCTCCAGTAAATTATCTGCTGATTGTATCTATTACAGGGTTTGGCATTTTCATGTTTGCTTGGGACCAATAATAGATGAACAACTTCCAGATAAACAGCTTCCAGAGGAACCATACTGACAGTCAGGTAATTATCCCCATGGGATAGCCAAACTTGTACCTGTGCCACTGGCCTTCTCTGCTGCCTTTGCAATGCAGTAATAAGAATGGGTCAGAAGATTATCTGCAAACATTTCTGCTCTCCTGGGCTACAATAGGAGCTGACACTACAATGCTCAGTGTTGCAGCTGGAATACTGAAAAGAGCTACTATTGACCCCAAGATATGAAAGCATCACCCTGTGGAGAAGTGCAGCACATTACATGCTTTAGCAGTAGCAGCTTCATCACCCAGCATGCTGAGTCCTCATCCGAGGTCAAGGGCCTGAGCTCAGACACTGCCCAGGGCTGAGGCCCATCTCCTCCAAGGAAAGAAGCAGCACCCCATCTATAAAATGAAGGGCCCTGATAAGAGCTGGAAGCCTGGATTGCAAAATGTGTGAATTGGAGAGGCTCGTTTAAATCCAGAAATACATAGGCTTTGGGAAAGGCAAGCCAAACCCAGTTGTAGCTGTTGGCTACTCCTGAGCTCTGCAAGAAAGCTCACAGCAGCTCTCAGGTTTGGAGAAGCTGAGGCTGGCATGAACATCTCTGAGTCCTTTGTTCTGAGCCTCCTCCTTCATCCCTCTGCTTCTGTGCTTCTGAATGCACAAATCCAGGCTCCTTTTCAACAGAGAGCCGAGGCTGCTGGACCTGGGAGCACACACCAGAGCCTGGGGCAGCACTTCCTCACCTGCACGAGGTTCACTCCTGGCACGAAGTTCTTCACCTCCTTGATCAACTTCACCTTGTCAGTGGCCTTCAGCTCCGTCAGCCGGACGGTGAAATGAGTCTTCTCTTTCTTGAGCGGGACCTCCTCCTCCTCCTCCTGGAAGCATCCGGAGCGCGGTGAAGCCCCCCGGCCGAGCCCGCCCCTGCGCGTGGGGTCCCCGGGGCCCCGCTCCCGCCCCTCCCGGAGCGCCCGGTACCTGCGGAGCCGCCTGGGCGGGCAGGACGGCGGCGGCGGCCGCCGCGGGCATCACCCCCACGTCCGGGAT